CTCGACCAAAATCCCCATTCGATGCTGTACCCTGTTTTTCGGCTGGCTTGAGACGAGAATAGTCATATCTTGCGAAATTTTCTCCCGGGCAAGGACGTCCATTGTCGTGGATTGCTTATTTCGAGTGTGTAGAGCAGTGTCGAACGGTTCTTCTCAGCCTCAAACGCCTGGCTTCAGTCAAGAAACGAATTCAACTCTTTTGTGTGGAGACCAGGGGGGGGGAGGGTGGGGCGAGGGATTCAGCTCATAATCTTAGCATCCTCGCGAGTACCTTCCTATCGCCAGCTGTATTGCAGTTGTCAAAAACTCCAAGTGTGAGCTCTTCAGCTGTAAAGGAATTTTCAGCAAGCTTATCCGCCCACTCACTACATCCGAAAAGTTCCACAACGAAAGGTTCATCTGTTCACCGCCTGTCAACTACTTCAACTGATCATACTGTGCGCATTTGGCTTCTCTCCATATCCGTTCATTGAAATGGTCTTCCCTATCGTATGCTTCTTCTTCCTCCCAATCAGGTGAGCGAATTTTATTTGAGTTTTGTAGTCATCAAAAACCTTAATGTAGTGAAGGCTTACTTAGGACACGGTAATTGTGAAATCTGGTGTGAAAATGCGTGCGGAAATTACATGACACTTGTGCCATCAGCACGGTGGGGTAATCGGGGGAATGGTAGGGACCCGCTGATGCAATGGAGATGATACTCCTGTGTTTCACTAAAAATAGCTATCAAACGGGAAATCGACGCTACACTGCAAAACTAAGTGTGTAGGTCTTTGTTACGCCCAGAATGGAACAGTGGGGTAGTGAGAGTGAGGGTTTTTCATGGACTTGCCGCAACTTGAAGTATCTCGAAGTACCTACAAGCCGTGCTCATTCATTGCAAATATGGAGAATCCCCGAATATCACGAATGCGTGAGTACAGCGCATCTACGAACTGGGGAACTTCGCGATAGAAGGATTGGGATGGGGATCACTCAACCTCGCCAGCGAGTTGGGAAAATCGCTCTATGTGCATTCTCCAGTTCGCAAGTTCTCCAGGCTGAACTTTTACCTTTGAGCGCATCCTATGAACACGCGCACTTGTGATTCGCGTATTCTTTTACCTGAGAATTATGAACGCCGCCTCACACAATCAGCCCGCGGGGGTACTGTATTCCCTTCAGGCATGTTGAAGCGGTTATCGCTAAGTTCAATACTTTGAACACAACATTTGCTTTACAACTTGGTACACTTTGGATGAATTGAGGGGACGGCGCCCATGAAATAGTACAGCAGGAATGTGGTCCAGTTGAATCCAGTCGTCTTCCTCGCCGAGAAACCGTTCGCCGTCCCAACACGCGCTTCTGCGACCGCCGACTGCTACTGCCACCACGTTCTGTGAGCGCTAGAAATACGTAGGGACTCTACTACAATATGGAGCTATTAAAGGTGGCGAGGAACATTTCTCTCAAACGTCTGCTTGACAAAGAGGGCTATAGGGGAAATGGGACGGAGATCTTGATTTGCAAACCAAAAACCAAACCAAAGCAAACCAGCAACCTTGTACTGTGGGGTAGTGGACGTGCCGTTGGGATTAGTCGCCACCACGTCGCTATAACAGCAGTAGATTACATTGAAAAGTAGAGTACATAGATGATATTGAAAAGTAGAGTACATAGCAGAGCGTTGCTTTACAAAATTACTGGTCGTCCACGACGAAGACAGGGAGGGCGTGATCTAGAGTATCGCGCGAACGAGTACTACGTTTCTGAGGGCAAAGTACGCAGCCATGCCTTTCCTTTCTTCGATATTTAGTGTTCGCATTTCCATACGTATGGGTAACCTCACACGTAACTCGTGACCAGTTTAGAGGTTTTTCAGTGGTGATAGTGATTAATTTCAGGCACACACTCATCCCACGTCTCATTGACTACAAGTATCTCGACGCGCTCGACGGACGACACTGAGTTTTAGCTAAAAGTGTTGCTTTATGATGTTTCCGTACCCTCACTCGCCAGTCATCTCACAGCATGTGCCCAGAAGGTCCATAAAATTTCAGCAGAAATCCGGGATCCGTCCTGGGAAATCGTTGCCTTGGTAAGGGGCTGAAAACGACGATAGTGTCAATTGTAAAGATGCTCCGTAGCACAGATATTGGCCAACCTCCTCCTTAGAGGAGTCCTTATCAAAGGATGGACGGTTGGACTTTTCTGGGTGCAGCAACCGAATATTTCATGTCCGAGGCTGGGGGAATAAAGAGGGGAAACACCACGATCAGCACCTCAATCAGGCAGTAGACGAAACTAAGAGCGACCGTGTCCTGCCCTGATTGGTCTAGTCAGCAATATAGTTCCATTAATTTAACTTGTAGTTGTGGAATATAGTTTAGTGCCTTGGGTGTCGTTCTTATCACGAGAACTTAATTCCCTTTTCTCATAAGATAATGATAGACTCTAGATTACACTGCTGTATCTTCAAATGCCAAAAAAATGTCGACATTTTTAGCGACCCTTAGCACCCAGAAAAAACCTCTCAGCCTTTATTATTGAATAAATTACACGTCTCCCTTTCCTCAGTGATTCGGGTTGTTTTTTGATGGACAGTTCATGGAAGCCGGGCGTGTGCTCACTCTGCATAGTAAACACGGACGAACTAAAGAGAGAGAGATAGAGCGAGAGAGAGATCTCGTCCACGTCGGGTGAAAACTCGTCCGGCTTGCTACATCATCCGCATCAGGTACATAGACATGTTAATGGTTAAACCTCTGTGTTTTGTAGAGTTCATTCTATAATAATGATGATAGTTAGCCATCTACTAATTGGACATAATCAGTTGTTAAACTTTCCTTAATGTCCCATCGATGTGATATACATATTGTTAGGTTATACTTGTTTTGTGGTTTTTATATGCATCAGAAAGATGTTCAGATTCAGCTTCTTCCTTGTTTTATCTAGAAGAATACCGGGAGGGTTCGATGATTCTGTCTTCTTCAGTTGTTGGATTGAGATTGCTTGGACTGGGGTGGTCCTACTACATGGCTGGCTTCACGGGGATAGACCCACAGCATCTCCATACCTTCAATCCTGCCAATATCAGGCGCTTTCAGTGTAGGAGAATTGCTTCCACCCCGGTTCAATGTAGCCGCCACAACGACTGAAGGACATGAAGAAGTAGGAGAGCCTTGTTCTAGTCGACTTTGATGTCTCACCCCTTCCACCGTCCTTTATTCCTCCTCCTCCACCACTGGATTTGAGCTACGATTGTCATTTTGCGTTTATTTATAATAAGAATTGTACTCAAGAGTGATATAGTGCCATATGGATTGTAACAGATTTCTATGTTATAAATATCATATGACTTGTGTTTTGTGATACTTTTAAAGAGTTTAAAGACACTTTCCGCGACCAAGTCTTACGGATAGTGAGTGTTCATTTATGAATGGGTAGTAGCCGACACATAGCTCCGTCGTCAATAAAAAATGAAAAAAAAAACTCTGAGAACACCCTAGATAAAACTCTTCCTTGACAGTCACATACCCGCAATGTACGAGTACTTTGGACTAGCTGGCAAACTGACACCGCTACCCCTGGCTCGCATATCGTATACGCATCATCTGGCACTAAATCCTATCTAACTTTAGAGCAACAAACGAAGAACAAACCAGTGGAACGAAACTAGCATTAGAGAATAGCACTCGAAAAGTCTCTGTATAAAACTTGGATTACGGTAAGCAATGTACGGCGAGCTTTTGCACCAACGCATTCTCGCTGGTAAACTCAAGCAGCACGCAAACGCATTTTGCCTTGCGAAGTGTACCGCTATAGACTGCTCGATTGTTAAAAACTATTCAGGGAAAGCTCAACACTTCGTGAGCTCGCAAAAGAGTCGGCAAGCTTGAATTCTCTCCGAAAAGCTCTAGTGATATCATCCTGCGACGCTGCAACAGAATACATACACGTCATTCATCGTGTGAGTGGGTGTCGCAGACCAAAAAGAATAAAGCCCTGTGATTGGTATCCTTTCTGAGGCCTACTTTAATTTATGGGTCCCAAGAATACTGCTCGTTATGATAAAACATCGAATGTCTCCCCCACGTCACTTTTGCGACTTGCTGCGAAATATCATCGGACTACTGCTTTAGTAAGGTAACTCTATAAAATGGACCTGCTCCACTTGGTACTCGCGTAATAACTACACGTAGTGAGAACCCGAAGTTTACATATCTTCACCGTTCCATTATCTTTATTTCCAGTACTCCGCGAAAGAACTCGTTGGCCAGGATGAAAATCTTTTTCCGAAATCTTCAAACACCTTCTGAACGAGACTCTGCCAGTTTTGATATGCGCCGTGGAACGGTCCCGCGCTAGTGCTTCCAAGGCAGCACTTTTCAGGCAACCGGAAGACGGTTAAGAAAATCGTAATTTGCCGTTCCGCCGCACGCGGCGATGGACGCGACAGTTCCTTAACTCGTGTTAACCTGTCAATTGGAGCACCGGACTTCATGTAGACCCCGTCATCGTACACATTTGAGGTTCTGAATGCTTGCTTGTCGCCATCCTCTACCTGGAACCATCGTCATTTGCAAGCGCGACGTCGCACGCGACGCCCATCAACGCGGCGAATTACGATACTCTTGTCACGTATCCCAGCCAACCACCGTCAAACCCTCTCATTTTCGAGCGCATTAACATTAGAGGTCGCATTTCGTAGCTTGCAGATTCCCAGCGAAAAACAAACCTGGGACCGGGGTGAGTATGGCCCGCGAATGGGTGCAAATAGACTTACTTTGGTACCTAGATGGCCCATCAACTGATGGATTTTCCTGGGTTGACTAGAGCGTATAATGTGCCACGTGATAAAGATATGTCACTTCAATACTCAATTTGTTGCGCAGTTTTCACAGCTTTAGTACTGGACTCTTAACGCAGTGCTTCCTGGACGCTTCGCAGAGTTTTGGGAGTATTAAATACAAGAAGTTTGTCAGGATCTGCTCCTTACAGCGTCGTCATTGTCTTTATAGTTATGTGACTGAAACATGGCGCGAGCTAACGCTCCACACTTTCCGCTGGTATGTTTAGAGAGTTGATCAACTCTTTCATTTGGGAGCGTCCTACATTCCACATGAAGGCTCCATCCTTGGACCGCGCCTGGCACAAGCAAAGAAAATTCTGTTCAATTCCCAGTAGAGAATGGCGCTATGCGCCGATTCTTCTGTCTAAGGCAGCATTGCAAATTCTCTGGTATTCATTCAAAAGAAGCGAACTGAAAATGAAATCTAAGTCGTGAGAAAGAGTAGGTAGTTTGTGAGAAAAATCCTTCCAGAAATTCTGGTACTGCACATACCCGCGTTCACGAGCATTTGGGGCTATGAAAGTGCGTCAAATTGGAGTCAAGAAGGGTTAGAGAGGTGGTTCTATCGGATGGATATTTCCCTAAACACAGCGTACGCTGGTCAAACGCTATCACGCAGATTCGCCTCACAACCCCTCAACATGTGTAACCCAACCCCGCAAACCGCACCCTGTATCCGCAACTGCCGTACCGCGTCACTTCTTCTCAGAAAAGCATGGGAACGAGGCTAGAGGGTAGTGCTACCTGGTCTTCATATTCCTCCCGCGCTATCTTATAGGTGCAGCATCTTCGTCAATACCAAGATCCCGCACCGAAACACGCAAACAATGGTAGAGGACAACCAGAAGAGAGAGCGCGAGACATGTACCGCGTTCAGGCTATGGTGAGGGGTATGGCTAGCAGAGCACATCATAGGTTGGGGATTTGAGTCGAGTCCGTACACGCCCCCTCCCTTTTTTTAAGGGTTGGTACGACCCCCCCCCCTCCGGCCCTCTGTCCCCTCATCGAATCGAGCCGAGGGAGGAGGGGGAGGCACATAGTACGCATGAAACAGGAAAATCACGAAAAGTCAACCACCACTCCTAGAAAGGCCAGAAAGTAAATACGACCCCCCTCTCCCAAAAATG